GCACAGTAAAGACATTAAATGATTAAATCTTTTCACTACCAACCAATGCACCACGAGTGCCCCTATCGGTCATTTTGGCCAGCCAATCACTTGCCATGCGGTGCCCTACGGTGCCCTGCGGGTTGGTTACTGTACCGCGGGTTTTTACCGCTCATTTTGAATGGCTGCATCTGTATAAAGTCATGTAATTATGTAGAATACACATAATAGTATATGTCGTGCGGTTTAGTTAGATTATTCTCATAACAAAAGTTCTCATTTGGTTCAAAGGAAAACACTTATTATAAGAATAATTCTTGACATTGCAGTAGTGAAAGCAGAAAAGTTTTCATCATTCTGTTACAGTCTCATACAGTACATTTTGTTTTCTTCTGCTAATTGTCAGATTTGCAGCACAATTACTCTAGTCTTCCGCAGATCTGTGTCTTTTAGCTTTGGAAGACCAAAGAAAACAGCCCACTTTTCCAACTTAGTACAGACCATTGAAGAATCATTTTTTAAGATTTATGATTTTTGTCCATGTTTGAATTCAAATGATGTTTTAGGCTCACGGTTCTTATGTGTTCAAAAAAATATTTGATATAGATATAAAATCATTTTATTCTTAATATTACACAGACTAAAACTGAATTAAACTAAAAACATTTATATATTTTATATAACTAGAGTATATTAACATCATGCTGTTTGGTTAGGATCTGAATGTCATTAAATGTCTAGCCAGTGTTAAATTCATTGACAAAATGTATGACAAAAATGTTTGTGAACAAACTGTTTTTTATTTTAGTAAATGATGATGAAATGCTGCCAAAAATTAAACACAATGCTGATAACAACCAACTGTTCAGTTAGGACCTCGTTACTGATGGTGTCTTCCAGGTGTACTGTTAGGAGCTTGTAACTAATAGTGTTATCCAGCTGTTAGGTTAGCACCTCATCACTGATGGTGATGTCCAGCTGTTCAGGAACACCAGCATACATCCTGAGCAAGAATCCAAGGGTGCATAAGTCCCCTGGTAGTATTCAAATTTTTCTATGTTACGATGATGATTCTTTGTTCCACTAATAACAATATTACATTAATTTCATGTATATCCAGCAAGCCTTTCTGAAACAAGTACTGTATGTTGTGCTCACCTGTGATCTGAAGAAGACCTCTTAGTGTTAATGTAACTCTTTAAAATCATAGCGAACATCTCCTGATACTTGTCAATGATTTCATGGTGTGTAATACCAGGACGATCTACAAGTAAAAGTCAAACAAAAAATTCAGAACCTCACAAATATCACAAAGAAGAAAGTTGCTAAGTAAACATGATCTCCTGTTTAAAGTAAAAATTCCACATGCAACCATGTCACAGGTGGAAATCAGAATTTTGAACATTCAGAACATAAAACCACATTTTTGAATCAGACACTTCAAGAAACAACTTTTTTATATTCTTGGATCTTTAGACTGCTAGAACCCAGCTAATGAAGATGGGGTGACTAGAATCATTTCATTTTGTAACCTTTCTTATTTATTAATCTTCGTTAACATTAAAATAACATTAAAACATTAAATGTTCAAAAAATTAAAATATTAAATATTAAAGTGTTCACTTGGTGTTTCACACAGTACCTGGGGAGAAGAGGGAGATGGCCTGCATAAGCACGTACTCTACATCGTGGAGCTTTAGGCTGCGCAGGGTGTAGTGGAACTTCTGCAGGGGGTCCAAGAGGTGTTGCTGGAACCCAGCTGGAGAAGGACAAGAATGAGTGACATCAACACCAACCGGAAACAGACAAAACCATAAGGCAGGAGGAGGAGAGGCAAGGACTTAGAGGGAAAATGGACCTCACCAAAAGAACAGAGATAACCATGTTCATGTTATTTGATGCTTAATAGGGAAACATTAACACATGCATTTAATCTAGAACATTTAATTGTGTATGTAGATATGTAAATATGTAAATATGCATATATTATTATAATTAATCACCTCAAAATCTTTCCAGGCAAGGAATTTAGAAGGTTTGCACAATGAAATTCTGATTCATCAGTCTTGCATAACTACTAATAAATAAGGCTAAAGATGTTTGCACGAGGACCTTGCACTGCAAACAGACTGTATGCTATACATACAGTACATGGGGAGTACACAAAAGACATGCTATCAATCTGATGGCAGAGTGGCCTCAGAAGACAGACACAAAGTGCACAAAGTGCAGCTGCCAAAACAAAGGTGATTGAATCTGAAAAATAAGTTAAGGAAACCTTGTATTTGTTTTGTTGAGAAGTGAGCTGATGGCTCAAAAGGAAGAAGGCAAACCAGCAGCAATAAGTAATGACCGTTATGGTCAACATATTGTGGCAAATTGGCCCGAAACCAAGTTGTCTGAGAGGGCAGCAAAAGCGAATATGCAGAAGGAAGGTTTTCAGCTTCACAAAGTGTTTATTGCCCCTTTACTTACAGAGAAAGGTGCTAGATAAGGTAAAGAGACTGCAGGTAGAGAGAAAGGGAGAGCACAGCTTCCCACAGCTTTCCATGCAGTGCAATGAGGAAGAAAGCTAAGGGAGCCGCCCTTAAATAGGATCCTGGGGAGGTAGAGGGCAGCTGCAGCTCAAGATCATGGGGCAATGGCACAGTCCATAACTCCAGGGAGGGGCAGAACGCTACAGTATTATCAGGGAGCCGGAGACACAGAAGTGAGGAAAAACAGCTTGTGCAGTGCAGAAAAGATGTGACAGGAGGTGGACAGCACCATGCCTTAACATGAAAGAAGGGTGGTGTCACAGAAGAGATGGGACTGACTGGTGTGCCGGATACACTGACTTCCTGTAGGAGTACTACTTCTCTCTGCTCCCCCTTACTCCTCTTGAGGAAATGGCTATCAAGCTCCACACTGTTCTTAAGCACTTAAATATTGCTACAGCCTAAGGTGACAAAGAAGTGTCTCTTGGATTTTATATAACATTTATTATTTTTATTATTATTGCTTACACTTATATATCGCTTTTCTGGACACTCCACTCAAAGTGCTTTACAGGTAATGGGGACTCACCTCCACCACCACCAATGTGCAGCATCCATTTGTTACACTTGGCAGAGTAAACACTTTTAGCTTCAAAGCAGGGAGGATGTTTGCTGACGTCTTCAGCAAAAACAATTGTAAAGTTTACATTATGCCAGTGTCACAGTACACGACTTTTCCTAGGATTTTCAGTCGTAGCCTTCATTTACATAATCATAAGAAAAGCACAGCAAGTTCTAGAGAGTCGCAGCACACATCTGTTACCGTTCGTTGTGTAGTGTGGCAGCAATCTGGGGTTTTCTGGGTGACCAGAATGTTAGGCCTCTGAAATGCCTTGTTTGTAAATACTGTACATAGTGTAACTTGTGTGTTGTTTGTTTTGTTGTGTGTAGCGTATTTTGCATCTTGTCATTGTAATAAACACTTGCTTAACCAACTGTGCCTGGATTATTACTCTTCTCAACAAAACTGTGCCAAAGAACAAAGAATTCATGTGCTTCTAATTATACCAACGTTCTTATATTCTAAAGAAATCACTTTCAGGTTGGGGGTTATGAATGATTATTTTACTCCAAAGAGAGAGATAAAAAAGAATACTGAAATGGATGCACGTGGAATGGATGAAACACAAATGTTTTTCTAAATACTACAGCAACACATAATGAAATAAACCAACTGAAAAACAATAATGGTAAACCATTAATGAAATTAGCCTTTAATGAAAGGCTAATGTGCAATGTATCAAATTTATATTTTAATGAAATATCCAAGGAAGGAACAGACAATGTGTTTTAGACAGAATGCAAAGCTCAGTATTAAACAGTATTAAAATAGCAAGTCCTAGAAGCACTTAAGATAAAGATCCTGGGCCTGGTGATACCCTACCAATTAAACAAGATTATAAGGAAACAAGAAATGCTTCTAATAGACCATTAACAAGACTCAGTAAGTCAAAACAGTAATACCAAATGTCTAGATGTTCTGTACAGTCCATAGATAAAAAGGGAGAACAAATCATCTATTAAATAATAGACCAATAAGGCTTATTTCTATTAGCATCTACAGTAGCAGCCAAACAAGCTAATTGGGCCAAATGGCCTATTCACATTTTTAACCTTTCTGATGTTTGTATGTGTCCTCTGTGTTTGCATCACTAATACATTTGTCTCCTGGTGAGACAGGCATGTCACAGCCCATGACACATTATCCCATCAGAAAAATAAATACTTTTCTTGGAAAGAACAGTGTTTTCCTTGCAGACCCTTATACTGCATGAGCCCTATTCCTGCTTAACATAACTGAGGGGAGCAAAAGTGCAGTTGACTCCAATTTAGTTCAATTCCGGACATTATCTGATGAAATCATGAAAGTCATGATGACAGAAATGTCAGAATGCCATGCATCCTTCACATTAAAGATGGCTGAGATAAAATAATTACTTTTCTTTTCTTGTTTAAACATCACCAACGCAAGTGTGGGCAATGAGAATGAGAAATAAATTCTAATTACTAAGGGATTCCCCTCTGGGAAAGCCACAGAAATAGAACAGTGCTTTTGTAAAAGGAGAACAAAGCAGATAAATTGCACTTAGTCTACTGTCCAACTAGCAAAAAGGCAGTGTTAAAGGCCAATCATTTTAAACGATAGGCAGAACCTAGATAATCTGCAAGACATTGTTCATATTTCTGGAAGACATTTTAGATGACAATTTTTACTTGCATTAAAACACTGTTGTTCATTTTTAGTGATTTTAAAAATGTCATTCGTCAGTTAGATAAGATTTTTGTTTTGCACAGAGAGTTAGTATTCAGAAAGCGTAGTGAGATTACTTATTTCAATATTTTCATTTTAAAGAAATGTAACAAAAAACAGTAATACTACTGCTCATTATAAATGATTTTTTTAATGTTAATGATAGCTGAGTAACAGAAGTATCATAGAAACACCAAACTATACAATGAACTAAGGCAATTACACTTTTCCTTTTATGAAAAAATGAAAATATAAAACAAGGCCAGCAAAAATACCTCTTATTATATTATCATCTTCAGCAATTATTTAAAAAAAATCCAGGCTAATATTTATCTCAATGTTCAAAGCTTAAGTTTTGTGCAGGTTGCTTGGCAGCAGTGATATCACCAGGCAGGAATGGCCTAGAGCAGAACCATTAGACACTAATTGGCTGATTTACCTGAAAGAAATAAGGTATTTAAAGGAGGATCAGGAATCATATCTTACTGAAAACTGATGTCAACCTCCCTGGTCAATTTTCTCCTGAGCCAAAGAATTGTAGTCCCTTTTACATACTTAATAACCTGAATTATAAAAAAGATCAAGTCACAGTAACTCATCTGAATTTACAATAACTATACACATTGGATGCAAAAAAGGCAAGGGATTTCAAGTGTGCAGTTCGTACCCAAAAAGTTAACTCCCAAGAGTTCCAACAAGAATTGAAATACAGTATGCCTCAAAACACCATACAATTTTATCAAATTGGCGCATCTGCTTTCCCTTCATTTTTGTTTTTACCACAAAAAAAACAACGAAGCAAAAGAATACTCTGGAGAACAACGTTGCCACTTTTTCTGATTTGTCAGTTTACTAGGATAATTTTTCCTTTCTCTTCATTGTTAATAAAATAACTAAGACACACCATGTTCTCTTTAAGAACTGTTTTCTGACAGAACAACAACAGTAAAACGTGTGGCATTAGCTCATTAAATGACAATGAAAACAGTACAATGAAAATGAGAAGCCCTTCTTTCAGTTTAAAATGGTACTCCTTCCTGGCTTCTGTTAGTAGTCCCTGTTAATGTGCTGAGGCAAAGAAGCTTCACATACTGTACCATGACTAAACAACACATTTTAAAGAACAAGTAGCACTGCTGTATGACTCTTCCCACATTGTTTTAAGTGTTAATTAACATTTCTGTCACTTTTTTCTCTTGAAAATTAATTTCAAGACACATGGCTGTCTGTTCGGTGTCATTTTCTTTCAACTGTCCTTCAACAGCCCTCTACAACAACAGCTGAAAAATGTGAAGTTGTTGGGTCTGTTATTGTTGTGGCCCATATTTCTGTAATGAGGATCATGTAAAAAAAGTAGCAGTAAAGCAAAAGCACTGGCAATATTTTTCTTCTGGTTAAATGGGAGGGCAGAGGGCATGAGAGCAGACATTTTAAAACTATGGCACACAGAATTTAGTCGGTAAGAAAAGGGTGTTAACTGTAAAACTAAAAATTATAGCCCTTGTCATTGAACAGCAGTAGCAACACATTTCATTTTTCAGGAGCCCCAATATCTGTTCTTCAAAGCACACACGCCTCTCCCCAGTTCAATATTGACAGGATACTGTCACAGACCTAACCAAACACTACAGTGTCCTGTGGGCACAGACTCCAACCGATTTCCAACTAACTTACCATGGGCTGCATCATCCATGTGGTAGGTGAGGGGGCCACATTCCCAGGTCCCTTTCTTATCATTGAAAAGCATGTTAAAACGGATCTGGCAAATTTCGAACGTGGCTCCTTTCAGCAAAGAAATCTGGTCTTCAATCATGAGTCCCCTTTGAACACCAAATTAAAAGCATGACTAAACACACTTGTGCTGTAATAAAGTAATAAAGTAATAAATGAGAAATAAATGGGTCACAGCTCTACAGCTGTAATCACACAACATTCAGTCCTTTAACAAGAGAACATCAGTTGCAATCAGAATTTTTATAGATACTCACTTAAAAAAGCTGAGAACTTTGGCAAAATTAATTATCTGCTGGATCATGTAGGTGGACAGGTCAGCTATATGAGGTAGCATGGAGAAGACAGTGGGTTTGCTCCTGTATTGCATTTGGTCTTCCTTGTCTCCTAAACACGGGCAACTGAGTTGGTTAAGGGAGGTGGTCACTCCCTTGTCCTGGGACTCATCTTTGGGGCTGCTCAGAGGTGTGGAGCTGCATATGTGCTCTGATTTGCGATTCATGGGCTGCAACAAAGGAGACAAGCAAGTTAAGTGACCTGTAATCTGCCTTTTAAAGGGTTTGTACGTATTTTGTTTGTATTTTTTTCATGTAAAACCCATTCTCAATATGAGCTTCCAGTCTTGTTTATAAAGTTCTTTACTGTTACAAACAACAGTTATTTATTAAGAATAAGTTATTTAATATTGAATAAGAATGACTTGGCTAACATACACATTTATTATGTGTAAAGACCCCACACTGATATAGGGATTGGTATTTCATTATAATTGAAAATCAAAAATCAATTCAGTAAGCAACAGAAAGACCAATGTATCATTCTTCACCATGGTATAAAAGGATATTGGTGTTCTAGAATCTGTCTAGAGAAGAGCAAACAGATACATTCTGGGGTTAAAAGGAATGTTCTACACTGACAGCTAAAGAAACTAAACCCCTTTTTGCTCTGAACAGTTATTACTTGCCATGATTCAAGTATTCAAAACCCTAAAGCCTTTTTTACCCATAGGGCTCAAGAAACAGTTGGACAAGATTCTTGGATCAAGTAACTTCTAACTACCAAGTGAGGCAGATAGGCTGTTGATGAAACTATTCAGGACATTCTACAAGTATCTTACCTCACAATACAGCTTGAAATGACAAGAGGAAAGCTAAGTAAACAATTAGTACGAATAGTTATACAATAGACTAATATTTGATATTACAAAACACATCTGTTAAAGTCTTCCAAAGTTAGAGGCCAGTCCCCAAACACAGTGCAAAGCCTTATTGTTGGAGTTTTTCAAAGTTACACAATTTTAAGATTAATACATAAATAGATCAGTTAATTACAATATCACATGGATCTTCTGACAGTTGACTAGAAAGATTAAATGTTAATTTTTAAAGCACCTCATGGATTCCTGATAGTGGAAAGTCTATCAAAACAATAAATGTGCAGATTTGATTAAGTTAGCCTCCATAGGATTTAAATCCTGGATTCTGCAATTCAGAATATAACCATCCACAGAATGTTAAAGACAATAGTTATGTGAATTGTCCTGGCTCATTGTTCCTCCTTTCAGTTAACAGCTTATATGACACAGATGAGATATTTTAATATGAGGCTAACATAATGGATGTACAGTAGTATTTGCTTGTGTTCAGAATGTGCTCAGAATACATAAAGAACAGAGGCATAACCCTCAGAAACTCTGATGCTCCAGGCATGGAAATGGAATGTACGGTCTTCTTTAAAGAAGTCAACGGCAGCCTTGTTAACTTTTTTCCCAATTTTAATGTGACGTGATCTCATGACTGCTCCTGAAAGATCTTTTCAAGGCTTACATTCTCTCAATAAAAAGCTCACGTTAAGGACAGCTATGCGACATCCTTCTAAACAGCTGTATTTGCTCCATGAGCTACTTTGAGAATGAACACTAACACTCTTACTGTTCTCCTCTGCAGCGTCAGTATAATTTTTAATTTCCTTCTTAACAGTTTGGCTGTCGTACCCGGAATGCCTTGCTGCCTGAGAAGCTGAGGTCAAAATGATCTTTCTGGGCCTGCAGCAGCTCACAAATGATGCTCTCCTGCTCCAGGGTCAGGGTAGGCTCCTCAGCTGTGCACAGCTGGGTCTCTTTGCGAATTTCTCTCTTCTTCTTGATCAGAGCCCGTCGCTGTTCCACTGCTGCATCAGACATGATTACTAGGAAACACAAATCAGCACAAGGGACAGGGTCAGAGTGTTATATCGCTTGTTTTCAGTCCTATTCAGTCAATTTTGGTAGTACAGTGTGGTGGACAAATCTCTGGAGTCAAAACTGGTGTGTTGTGGGTTCGAATACACACTGGACTCTGCCTTTGTAACTTGCGAAAGGTACTGTACCGCAATAATTGGCGAGATTGCTGCTGTCCACCCAGTATCACTGGGGACCAGCGTTTGCTATAGGTTTGCTCAGCAATGGACTGACGTCTCATCCAAGGGAGTTAGCCTGATTGCTTCATGCCATGGAAACCATGACCATGAATTTGGAGATACAGTACCTGCCATAGAAAAATCAAATACAGGGTATATACTGTATGAAACAATTGTTTTGCTGATGATTTCAGAAGAATACATCATGATAGCAGTACAGTATATAATTTAGAAAAGGGCATTGTGTTGACTTAACTGCTTTGTGATGTGATGACAATTATGATCATTTCAGATTCTTCCTAGACAATTTTTAATAATTCTAATAATTAGTTACACTTATATGGCACTTTTCTGGACACTCCACTCAAAGCACTTTACAAGTAATGGGGATCCCCCCCACCAATGTTCAACACCCACCTGGATGACGCGGCGGCAGCCATAGTGCGCCAGAACGCTCATCACACATCAGCTATCAGTGGGGAGGAGAACAGAGTTATGAAGCCAATTCATAGATGGCAATTATTTCAAGGCCATGATTGTTAAGGGCCAATG